AGTGATCGGCTATTTTGTGGACAGGTATATGTGGAAGGAATAGCATTTGATTCTTCTGTATTTCAAATAAATTATCAGTGCTCAAAGGACAGTTTTTGAATTTGATGTAGGTTTTGCTTTCTGTTGCAAGTTAGTATAATATTGTTCAAGTTTTATTTCAATGGAATTTATGGCCTTTGAGCCACCATGGCACAGTGGTTAGAGTACAGTACTGCAGGCTACTTTTGCTGCCTGCTGGCTGACTACAATTTGACAGTTCAAATCTCACCAGGCTCAAGGTTGACTCAGCCTTCCATCCTTTCGAGGTGGGTAAAATTAGGACCCAAATTGTTGGGGGCAATAGGCTGACTCTGTAAACCGCTTAGAGAGGGCTATAAAATGCTGTAAAGCGGTATATAAGTCTAACTGCTATTTCTATCCAAAGCAAAAGTCACTGGCTTCAAAATAGCAGGGTTGCAGGACCACAACTACCTGGTTGTGCCTACTATTTGGAAGCCAATTAACATCCCTGTGGTTGCCCATGTCCATGAGCTATCCACAACAATTTCCTTTTTCCTCACTGCATACATGTGGAGTTACAATATTTTATCCTAATGCCTATTATTTTATACTTACTTCATTTCAACTCTATCTGGCATCTGATTCACCAGTTTAAAGAAATCATCCTCACCACTTTTTTTGTTAGAAAATCTCAAAAATTAAGTTTTTCTTTCCATCTTTCTATTATTGGCAGATGTGAAGTGGGTACCGAAAACTGGGTGCAATGCAATGACGCTCCTGTAAAAATCTGCAAATATCCAGTGACTGGCTTGTTGGAAGGGCGTTCCTACATTTTCCGAGTGAGGGCCGTCAACCAGGCAGGGATCAGTCGGCCCTCAAGATCCTCTGATGCTGTGGCAGCTCTTGACCCCATGGACCTGGAGAGGTCACAGTGTAAGGAAAAAGAATGCTGGCCATATTTCTTCAGGGGAAATTATAAGCAGACCTACGAAAGAGGAATCTTGCTGCTAAGTGAGAGGGGCAGGTTAAATTTCATTTCTGAGCTGGCCATAAATTGGGTTTGCAGGCAGCTTCCTTATGGCTACTTAAAATAAGAGCTATGATTTCAGCCTATGTATGTAGGTATGTATATATCATCATCATCATCATCATCATCATCACCACCACCACCACCACACCACCATCATTTTAGCTATTGTCTATCAATTGCAGAATGAAGGCCTCTTTCACATGTTTCCATGTATGAATGTATTTATGTCTACACACACACACACACACAGAGCGAGAGGGGGGAAGGGAGGGATAGAGAGAGAGAGAGAGAGAGATAGAGAGAGAGAGAGAAAGAGAGAGAGAGATGTGGAGGTCTCATTGTAAACTATTATGGTTAATAATTTTCAACAGTTTTCCCACACTCTGTATACAGGTAGTCCTTGACTTACAACCATTCATTTAGTGACTGTTGAAAGTTACAACAGCCCTGAAAAAAGTGACGTATGACCAATTTTACGCTTAACGACCCCTGTAGCATCTCCATGGTCATGTGATCAAAATCCAGGCATTTGGCAACTGGCATGTATTTGTGACAGTTGCAGTGTCCTGAGGGTCATGCGGTCACTATTTGTAACCTTCCCAGTTGGCCTCCAACAAGCAAGGTCAATGGGTCATTAAGCTAGATTCATGTAACAACCGCACGAAAACAACTGCAGTGACTTGTTTAACCACTGTGGCAAATAAAAGGTGAAGAAATGGGGCACACAATTCACTTAACAACTGCCTTGCTTGCCAATGGAAATTTTGAGCTCCATTGTGGCCTTAAGTCGACGATTACCTGCAGTGGTCCAGCTCTTTGATATGTAAATAAGTATTTATTATTCCACCGAAAAATTATATTATGCCTAACACATGCTTCATTTTTGTGCTGAGCAACAGGGATTTCTGGTCAGATGGTGAATTTGTTCAGAATAAAAAGGTGATCTTTTAAGGATTTGTTTATCTTTAGCATCACGAGAGCACTCATCTGAATTAATAACCCCAGATGCTAGAGTTTTCAAAATCTAACTTTGACTAATGTTGCTGATATAAAAACCCATGATAGCAAGAAGCAATCAAAATACTAAAAAGATGTTGCAGTGTAATTTTCAGAAGGCGTTCTATTAGTACAGAAACTTAAATATCAATGGTCAATGACTACTTCAGCTTCAACCACAACAATACAAGAGCATACAACAGATACAAACTCAATGTAAACCACTTCAAACTCGATTGCAGAAAGTACGACTTCAGCAACAGAGTGGTCAATGCCTGGAATGCACTACCTGACTCTGTTGTTACATCCTCAAACCCCCACTCCTTTAACCTCAAACTATCCACTATTGACCTCACCTCATTCCTAAGAGGTCTGTAAGGGGCATGCATGAGTGCACCATCGTACCTACAGTCCCTGTTCTATTGTCCCCATTTATCTGTACCTATTTCCTGTATTCTTACTCATGTTTATACTTTTACCTATTATCTTGTAAGCGATTGACAAACAAACAAACAAACAAACAAATAAATAATATTGTTTTTTTCCCCTACCTTCAGCTATTCACATGGAAGGAGGCAGGGACATTATCCTTCATGACTTTGAAGGTACGTAACTTCCACAGAGACCTACTCACAGTACCTCTGTGGCCGTTAACAAAACTTTTGACTTCCGGCTGACATTCAGATTTCTTTTTCTGTCTAGACTCCTTTCTTCATACATTTAATATTGAGTTAAACATGTGCATCTCTCTTATTGCCCACATGAGGAATTTAGTTAAGAGGAGAACCCGAGAACTAAGTTAATATATTCTTGAGTGATTATTGTTTTGAGTTTCAGGAAATTCCACTTTCATTTTGTGCAGGTAAGCATTCTGCGTGTTTGCATTATCAGGATATCCCGGAATTGCTACTTTAATTTTTCTGGTTTTCCACCAGATTTCTTAAGAACTGCAATTTGTTGAAGTGCTTTAGAGTTTAAAGCACAATAAATCATACCTGCTGATGCAGTATAAGACCACAGTATAAATATTTTTTAACATTTGTCTTCTCAGAGCAAAAACACCCTTTTTTTTTCTCCCTTTTGAATGTGGAACTTAGAGAGCCAGAAAAGTCTAATTAATCAGCATGGGACTTATTTTCTTCCCAATTCAAATTGCAATACAAAATGTATAGGAACAATGTGCTAAAATGCAAAGCGATATTTCTCTCGGTGCCTAGAAAATGCTCATGAGTGATAATAGTTAAGGCAAATCAAGTCACAGGTTTTATTCCCCTTCACTCCTTTTGTCGATTGCAGGAAATACGGTTTCAGCAACAGAGTGGTCAATGCCTGGAATACACTACCTGACTCTGTGGTTTCTTCCCTAAACCCCAAAAACTTTAACCTTAGACCAGGGGTCTGCAACTTAAACATTCAAAGAGCCATTTGGACCCATTTCTCACAGAAAAGAAAATCTTGGGAGCCAATAATTTAAAAACCAGTGTGACTGGGTGGGCGTGGCCAACTCAACATCACTCACGCCCACCCAGTCACCTCCTGCTCTGGAATATGGAGCAAGTCTCTATCTCCTGCCATCACCATTACCTTCTTAGGCCAGGTGAGGAGTGATGGAGAGGGAGAGGAGGGGCCAGCCAGTGGTGGGATCAGCCAACGGAGCTGCAGTAGAGGGCTGAAAGAGCTGCATGTGGCTCCAGAGCCTCAGGTTGCAGACCCCTGCCTTAGATTGTCTACTATTGACCTCACCCCATTCCTAAGAGGTCTGTAAGGGGCATGTATAAGCTCACCAATGTGCCTACCGTTCCCTGTCCTAATGTTCCCTTTTATTTGTATCCATTTCATGTATTAATAATCATGTTTATACTTATATTTGTTACCTAATACATGCTTGACAAACAAATAAAAAAGTAAATAAACAAACATATTGTATCTACCAAATATTTTGGGACTAAGCTTTCAGAAAGAAAACAGGTGTGGAGATACCTACAAGAGTGGTCCCAATAGTCATAGTATTAAAAAAAATATGTGCTGCTGGGGATTTTCTCTGACTAGGACGAAAATTAAACCAGCTCAGGTAAGCTGAGCCATTCCAGGTGGATCTTAAAACTCCCATCCTCCCTTTGAACTGCTGATCTTTGATGAGAAATGGAGAGCAGCCACAGTTATTACAGGAAAATGACAACTCATTCCTGTGCCATATATTACCCTGATATTATCTCATTGTCATTCATAAACTAGGAGAGGTTTCTACACCATCCTCCCCACTTTTTTTTTGGGGGGGGGTGTATGATTTTATATTTAATTGCTGTGGTCCTTCATGCAAATTTTTTTCCTTGCTCATTTTTCTGAAGCAGAAACTCTCGGGCTCCTCACTTTGATCAACCTGTCTCCTATTTGCATAAAGCACGAAGACTTTATTAGGGCCTTTAGTACCGCACATGAAAGCGATTCAGATATGATCAAAGTAAAACAAAAATCTTAGGAGTTGAATGCAATATTTCCTCCTCCTCCCTCTTCCATTTCTTTCTTTCTTTTTTTTTAAAGCCAGCTGTGAAAAAATAACTGCTACTCTTCTTGCTTGGTTTTCACAAACTGGAAACAAATTAGCTTTGATAAATCACAAAGTTGATGTAGATGTACTTAATAGCTGAGCAATGCGCTCTAAATGAGACATTTTGGAAAGACAAGTTCTTGCATCAATGCTAGCCTGGGAGATTCATCTGGCGCAGAACAGTTATTGAGTGTATTACTCTTCTAGGTGATGTTAAAATCCCTGGACCTCCCACCAACGTGCATGCTTCAGAAACCAGCAGAACATATGTCGTTCTCAGTTGGGACCCACCTGTTCCTCGTGGCAGAGACCCACTGTCATATTTCATCGAGAAGGTACCGTGCCTTAGAGCGGCATTTGGCTAGATGGCATTTCAGGAGCACGTCCCCCTTTTGTCACAGTTTTGTTCCATATAGTAGCAACCTTGTGAAGTCTCAAGCATCCTCTTTCCAATATGCATTCAAGATGGACAGTGATTATATATATATATATATGGTATTCAGCTTTGTTCGGGTATTTTCTCACGTCATTATAGTTGTGCTTTTAAAGTTGTAGCAACGTTTCGGCAGAATCTCATCTGCCATCATCAGGCTTCTGTATTGTGTTTGTCTGTGAGTCAGACTTTTACAGTGGTTTCAGTTTCAGTTCAAAAAACTGTTCTGTGGCTTTTCTTGTGTCTTGATTGGCTGGCAACATTGAGTTCCTGTATTGGAGGCTTTTAGTGCAGCTTGGCTCTGAGTAAATGGACGGCTATCATTTGTTAGGAAGCTAGGTTTCATCTGGGTGCCTGGTTGAGGTGTGCTTGAGCTGGAGGTATTAGGGGGGATCTGTTTGTGCCCAGGTGCCTGCCTGGCTAGTGGTGTGGAGATTTTTTTTGTTTGTGGGTGCAGGCTTCCAAATAATTGACAGTCTGGGTGGAATCATCTCTTCTACTCATGCTTTCAGGTCTTTTTTCAATCTCTATGGCTTCTCTGATGATTCTGTGGCTGGGTTTTTTTTATAGTGGCTAGGGTTTTTGTGCCATTGAAGTAGATGCTATGACCTGTGGCTTTCATGTGTTGGACTAGTGAGGAAGTATGTTCCAGCTTTTTTACTGCATTTTTGTGTTCATCCAGGTGTGTACTAATTCTTCTATTGGTCTGTCCAATGTATATGGCTGGGCATGGTGCACAGGGGACTTCATATATGCCTTGGTTTTCCAGGTCAATTTTATCTTTGGGGTTTCTAAGGATGGCTGCTATTTTTCTATCTGTTTTGAAGGCAGTCTTGATGTGATGCCTGTGTAGTATCTTACTAATTTTGTCTGTAGTACCTCTTATGTAGGGCAGGATAGCTGTCCATTTACTCAGAGCCAAGCTGCACTAAATGCCTCCAATATAGGAACACAATGTTGCCAGCCAATCAAGACACAAGAAAAGCCACAGAACAGACAGAAGATATTAGAAGCACCAATCAAGCAAAACACAGCAAACTCCAAGACCAATAAACACAGACCAAGACTCCCAACCAATCAGGATGAAGAAAAAACCATTCTGGCACAGCAGTAGGCTACCCCCAAATTTAAAACTGAAACAACTGTAAAAGTCTGACTCACAGACGAACACAGTACAGAAGCCTGATGATGGCAGATGAGATTCTGCCGAAAGGTTGCTACAACTTTAAAAGCACAGCTACAATGACGTGGGAAAATACCTGAACAAAGCTGAATACCATATATATATATGTTTTCTTATATACATATATATATATATACATATACATGTGTGTGTGTATGTATGTGTGTATGTATTTGTACACTTTTGAGAAGAGGCAACAGATTTTCTTTTTTAATGCGTGCCCACAATAAAATTGACAATAAAGTTTATCTATTTCTAATAATGTGCCCAGTAGCAGAAAGATAAAATTATGAACATTATCAGAATAACAGAGTTGGAAGGGACCTTGGAGGTCTTCTAATCCAGGGTCCAAACTTGGCAACTTTAAGACTTCTGAACTTCAACTCCCTGAATTCCTTAGCTAGCCATGCTGGCTGTGGAATTCTGGGAGCTGAATCCCACAAAGTTGCCAAGTTGGGAGACGCCTGTTCTATTGCAACTCCCTCCTCAAGCAGGAGACCCTATATCATTTCAGTCAAATGGCTGTCCAATCTCTTGAAAAAGGGGTGATTGAAGAGATCCCAGAAAAAAAAAATCTTCAGTTACATTTAATTAAATAATACTGACATTGAGGATTGGGGGGAAAGTGTTTTTTTTCATAGTGGGGAACATTGGATAGCTAAGACTTGGGAGTAGTCAAGCCATAGGAGCAGCACAGAGGCTGAAGCAGTTTAGTCTTCCTTCTACAAAAAAATCTGGCATGCTTGGAGTTATCTAAGCAGATAGTAAAAAACTACTTAGTACTTGCTCTGATCTTACCATCCCTGAATAGATAAATAAGTGTAACCCAAACACTTAGAAGGGTGCAGATTCAGAAAAAGCCTTTTTGATACACCCATCTCTGTCTTAGATATGCAGCTTTTATTTCTGGAAAATATGCTCAGGATTGGCCTTGACTAAACTAATGATCTCCTCTGGAACAGTGGTCCTCAATCTTTCCAGCTTGGGGGCTGGGTGGGATGAGAGGGGATGTTTCTGTGCGAGTGGCAGGTGCACGTAAGTGTGCGCAGCTCCATTTGCACAAATGGAGGTCAAATGCACCCACACCGCTCACCCAAATGGAGCTTCATGTGTGAGCATGGGCACCTACTACTTGCACAAATGGAGATGCACATATGCTCACCTGCCACTCACAAACAGGCCAAGGGGACCCCTGCTCTAGAACAAAGCTGTGTCAACTTTGGCCACTTTAAAATTTGTGAACTTCAAATTCCAGAAGGCTGGCTGGGGAATTCTGGGAATTGAAGTCCACCTAGTTTAAAGTGGCCCAGTTTGAGAATCACTAATTTAGAATAGCTGGGCTAACAAAAATCACATGATACCCGGAATTGAGCAAGATTCACAATATATTTATTTTTCAGATTGCTCTAAATGGTATCAAAATGGTCAGAAATCAAAATCCCCGCTTGAATGAAATCTATTTCAAACTATTTGTATAAAGGGGAGGAATTTATTGCTGATTAAAGTCAAACACAGTCACTCAACTAGAGCAAGCAAATCCATGAGCCTCCCTATCACATCTCGTAGATTATGTAAGAAACAGAAGATTATGTAGCTATCGTTCATTAATTCAAGTACTTTTAACTCAAATACTTTGAGGATATTTGCAGCTCTGTACATGCAGTAATGATCTTGTTCTTTTCTTTACAGTCTGTTGTTGGCAGTGGGAGTTGGCAGAGGGTCAACGCTCAAGTGCCAGTCCGATCCCCTCGTTATGCGGTTTTTGATCTCGCGGAAGGGAAACCCTATGTTTTCCGAGTTTTTTCAGCCAACAAGCATGGGATTAGTGATCCATCTGAAATAACAGCACCTATTCAAGCAAAAGAGGCCATTGGTGAGGAATGTTCCCTGTTGGATTAGGGCTAGGGTGACTCAGGAGCAAATCTGTCTCCAGCTATGGAAGTCTGGCTGACCCTGGGCCAGTCGCCCACCTTCAGCATTGCTTAATTTTCAGGATTATTATTATGGGAGAAAATGGAAGAAAAATGTTATTTGCAAGGCTGGCTGTATACACCTTAGACAAGAACATAAACTGGCCACCCCCTATGATTTGACTCATCTTCCTATTTTGGTAGGAATTTCAAAAAAGTGCCCTCTTGTTTCTTTTCTCTTTTTTTGCCTTTGAGTTTTTGAGTTTTATGATTTTCAGGTTTGGAAAATGGTTCTGTTTTCCTTTTCTCAGACATTTTCACCCTATTGCATAGTAAATAACAGAATAAGAGAGCGGAAAGGGACTTTGGGGGGTTTCTACTGCCTTTCTTTTGCCCAGGGCTACCACATATTTTTCAGGGTTTACATGCATTGAATGTCTACAGTCCAGAGCATAAATACATGTGTGTTTAACAGAGTTGAAAGGGAGTTTGGAGGTCTTCTAGTCCAAGCCCCTGCTCAGGCAGGAAAACTGAGGATGCCAAACTCTGGGAAAGGTGTCAGGATAACACTTAGAAGGGACTTTGGGGGGAACCCTATACCATTTCAGAGAAAAGGCTGTCCAGTCTTTTAAAAATTTCCAGTGATTGATCACCCAGAACTTCTGGGGACAAGCAGGTCCACTGGTTAATTGTTCTCCCTGTCAGAAAGTTTCTCCTTAGTTTTAGGTTGCTTCTCTCTTTGTTCAGTTTCCATCCATTGCTTCTTGTTTGCCTCCTGGTGCTTTGGAAAATACATTCCCTCCCCCCTTTCTTTGTGGCAGCTCCTTAAAAGCCTGTTGCCTATGACACTCTTGAGTAAAACATGTGAGCCATTTCCTCCTTTCAGTGGTCCATGAAAGTACATCTATAGTATGCAGATAATAAAGTCAAAAAAGGTGAACAACATTTTACACAACTATAGATAAGTTGAGGCTGGGTAACAAGGAATGGCTGGGAGGGGAGGGGCCAGGTGAGGCACCACTTGATGTGAGTGACATTGCGCTGGCCACGCCCACCCAGTCACATGACCACCAAGCATGTCTGCCCAGTCACATGACCACTAAGCCACACCCACCCAGTGACATGACCACCAAGCCATGCCCACCAAATAAGACATGCCCACAGAACTGGTAGTAAAAAATTTTGAATTCCACCACTGGCTTAGAGTCAAGGCAGCATATACATATGTCAGATAAATGCAAATATACTTAAAATATGTGACAGATAGCACACTCTTGGTGACCAAAGCCAGGCAGCTTGATTGCTTTGAAGGGAGAAAGAACACAGCTGGGCAAGACAGGGGTATAAAGTGCATAAGACCTAATTTTCCAGGTTTTCTTTATGTTGAAAAAGTTTGGGGGTTTTCCTTATTTTTTTTAAAAAAACTCTTAACTTAGTTACTTAAAATGCAGATTTTATATGATTTCCATTCAAAATGGTTCTAAACTGCCTGATCTTCAGTGATAGCTATCAAATGGGGTTTCAGAAACCATGGTAAAGAGAATAAGGGTGCTGAAATGCTGAAAAAAAAAAAGGCTCCGTGAGTATTAATTTAGCAGAGAAAAGCCTTACGTTTTGCAACATAAAATTGACGGATACTTTGAGATTACTTGTCAAAGCTTAGAGTAAAAATCATGGCCCTACTATTTCCTAGGAACTATTGCTTTCCAAAATATATCCACTTGACTTGCTTTGACTTGTGCTATTCAGTGGCGGTTCTCGGAGATTTTGATTAGCACATTCTTTCTTTGTGGGAGACATGGCCATTATCACAGTGAGTTTGAGGGTTTTAAGAAAGGAGCCATAGGTTCCAAATGTGTCTCAGACATCAGCACTTTTGAAACCCACAGGACAGGTCCAGTTGCCACTGAAATGAGAATTAGTTGTCATGGAGAAGCTCCATCTTCTCCCTGATCTTTCTTGTGTGCAAACAGAGGCAGATCCCAGTGAATGAGGGAGGAAGAATTTTAATGAGTTTTTCTCCCCAAGGTCAGCCTTGTGAATTTCTCCAAAGGTCACATTTACATAATGTATATCTTAGGGGGATACTGGGCTTATTTTCATCTTGGAAATCGCTAGATCAACTGATAATTCGGAAATCAAGATCATTTTTTTTTTGAAAATTACATTCTCCCTGCCTTTAGAAATGTTTTAGACCAATTCAGGAATCTGGGAAGGACTTGATAAGTGGGTAAAAATGCTGCATTCAATCTAAACATCTGGCTGAAAGTACAACCAACTGTAAAATATTGTTATTTTGAATTTTCAGCATAATGGCATCTTCTAATACTTGCTAGGAAAGTCACATGTAGACTTGAAAAAAATTGGTTATAATACTTATTTATTTATTAGACTTATATGCTACCCATCTCATCTAGAGCAACTCTGGGTGTCTTACAAACATACACCAATGTGTTAATTGTTATGAAGAGAGTAAGTGCCTTTCTTTGTGCTGCAGTGGCGCCATCAGCTCCTGGACGTGTTGTTGCGACAAGAAACACAAAAACCTCTGTTATTGTGAACTGGGACAAGCCAAAACATGAAGAAGATCTGATCGGCTATTACCTTGATTATTCTGTGGTAGGATCAAATCATTGGGAATCCTGTAACCATAAGCCAATCAAGTATAACAGGTAAAAGCAATATAATGTTTTAAATAATTGCTTGCTCTTTCACATATGCATGTATATATATTTTGGTTAGTCCTTTCTACAAGCGTGGCTGGTGGGCAATTCTGGGAGTTGAAGTTCACCGTTGGCCACCTCTGTTCTAGGATGAGGAGAATCTACCTATTTAATGGGCCATCATCAGAGAAACCACAAGATTATGAATTAATAAATAATCAAATAAAATAGCAGAGAATACAGCAGGAGGGCTGCATACATAGGAAAATGACTGGCTGCTTTTGGGAGGGTGTTGCCAGCTTTGCAGCCAATCACAGCTGGGCCTCTTACTGGAATGGAATGACATGCTGGGGATCATCCACACTAAAGGGCTCAAGACAGCTCAGGTGAGAAAACAGTGAATTATACTGAATTACAGCTGAAAAACAAAGGCATTTGCAATGGTGTAGAAGTAGCAGAATGTCCTCGCGAAGTGGTGAGTGAATTGCCCATACCCACAACACAACAGGACAAGCCGAAAATGTGGATCTGTCTTCTGTCCCAAAGACAGAAATAAAGGAATATTCTCTGAAAAAAACCAAGTACAGTTTCTCTGAACCATCCATTGTCTGTGTAAGCAAGAACCTCATCAACAGTCTGCAAAAATCCCATTGGGCATATCAGAACAGACAACCTGATCAGGCTTCCTGTCTTAAAAGCAGCATGGCCAAGTGTCTAGATTCATAGTTTTCCATCTCGTTGCTGTTTTGCACAGATAAATTGTTTGTTGCATGGACAGGGGAAGCTTTTTCATTTTGTAACAGTCCAAGCAGATGCCTTTAAAATTAAGCAGCAATAGCAGCTCACCTCCCTGTTTCTTCTTCAGGTTCACCATGCACGGCCTGACAACAGGAGAGAAATACATCTTCCGTGTGAAAGCAGCAAATGCAGTGGGGATGAGTGAAAATTCGCAGGAGTCTGACTCCATCACAGTACAGGCGGCCCTCAGTAAGTGGGACTTGGTCAAGTGTACACTTTCAAAGATTAAGAAGTGGTCTGATCCATTAGAAGCTGTAATAGTAACACCATACAGTAGAAACTACAGCCAATAGCAGTAGTCAGTATGGGTAGTAGACTTACAGCCATTCATTTAGGGACCATTTGAAGTTACAATGGCACTGAAAACTGATGACCATTTTTGAGCCATGATGGCGCAGTGGTTAGAATGCAGTACTGCAGGCTACTTCTGCTGACTGCTGGCTGCCCGCAATTTGGCTGTTAAAATCTCACCAGGCTCAAGGTTGACTTAGCCTTCTGAGGTGGGTAAAATGAGGACCCAGATTGTTGGAGACAATAGGCTGACTCTGTAAAATCACTTAGGGAGGGCTGTAAAGCACTGTGAAGTGGTATATAAGTCTAAATTCTATTACTATTGTTATTTTTCACACTTTTAACCTCATGGACACATGATCAAAATTTCAGGCACTTGGGATGTATTTATGACAGTTGCAGAGTCCTGGGGTCATGTGGATCACCTTTTTGTGATCTTCCCAGTCAGTTTCCAATGAGTAAAGTCAACGGAGGAAGCCAGATTTGCTTAACAACAATATGATTCACTTAACAATAACAACTGTGACAAAAAGGTCACGAAATGGGACAAAACTCATTTAGCAACTGCCTTGCTTAGCCACAGACATTTTGGGCTCAATTGTGGTCATAAGTCAAGAACTACCCATACTCTCAAAATGTAAACTTTTCACATCTTGATACCTCCATGCATTGCTAGCATGGGGACTTTTCACATAATTGTAGGTTTCCACATGATAAGTCATTGTTACATGAAAATGTGGGTACCTGCTATGGGGAAAGGGGCTTGGCTTATAAAGGAGATGAATACCAAAGAAGAATAGGGAAATTGAAATTGGAGAGAACAGCCGCATTTTGATATTTAAGACTTCATGGTGAATTATTTTGGCAAGCAAAGTCATAGACACAGAAGGAAGAAAATATTGTTTGGAGAAAGGCAAACGTAATATTTTGGTTTAAGTTTATGTAACTTATAAGATATACTATAATATACTTAGATTTAAAAATGCCATTCTGTATATTTATTATGGACAGTCCCCAGGGTCTTACCACTTAGAAAACATGCATTATTAAGGCACCATTTTCTTAGACAAGTCAATCCATAAATTCATCATAATGTAATCAAAGTATAAAAGAAAACCATGTGATGTTATTGCTTTGTATATCAACTATTCAGAAGTTTGCTTGACTTTTATAGCTTGCCCGTCCTATCCTTATGGCATCACCCTTCTCAACTGTGATGGCCAATCCATGACCATTGGCTGGAAGCTTCCAAGATACAGCGGTGGATCAAATATTCTGGGTTATTACCTAGACAAACGGGAGGCAGAACACCACAACTGGCATGAAGTCAACTCTTCCCTTATTAAAGAAAGGATTTATAAGGTCTGTATTGTTGAATGCTCTAAATACTTGCCGCCAAAATTGCTTGATTTTGCCAATTTCATATCAGCTGTGATGAACCAATTCACACCAGAATCCATAACATAACTAAGCAGTATCTTGTTTTTGTCTTTCACACTACACATTTTATAATCATATTTAACAATAGCATTTTTCTTTATCAAAGCACAAATACAATATTAACTACAGTATATTGATGAGCATACCATACACATAGAAATAATATCACATGTGGAACAAACACACACATATATGCATATACACACACATTATAAGAAAACAAGTAAATGTTCAATACTTATTTCTTTGCTTATTGATTTGTCTGATTCTGTTCTGTTCTGGTTCTGCTTCTGGTTCCTGTTCCATCCCGTTCTGTACTTTCATTCAATGGTATCAGTCCCTGTCACAACCAATGGATCAATACTGGTTTGATCTGAACAAAGTGGACACTTTGCTTGTGGGAAAATGCAAGGAAGAAAAAAATACCTACAGAAAGTTAACACAACGCAATTTAATTCCTCCCTGATTTGAGACTAAATGATAATTATGCGTCCTTTGATGACCCAGATTATCAAACCTGTCTCTTGTGCATCAACCTTCTAAATTAGCAATCTCTCATTAAAAGCTTGGGTTATCTCAGTGATAAGGCTATTTGTTGATCCTATGGAAACTGTTTGAGTTGAGTCTAGGAAAAGCCTGTATAGATAGACAGAGCTGTAGGTTGCTCAAGATTATTGTACGTTGCCGAAATTTTCCTGTGAGATGCGGAGCATGTAAATATGTAAATAAATAAATTAATTTATTGGAATATGAACAATTCTGAACAAGAGCTGACTCAATTTTAGGTTATCATCTACAAATACTCATGATGCCAAAAGCTATCTGATCCTTTAAGGCAGGGGTCCCCAACTCCCAGTCCACAGACCGGTAGCAGTCCCTGGCATGCCAGAAACTGGACCATGCAAACAAGTGAAGTCCCATCTGTGTGATGCAGGCAGCACACGAAACCAGGGCCCCTCTGGTCCGTGGGAAAACCTCTCTCCACAGAACTGGTCCCCGGCACCTAAAAGGTTGGGGCCCTCTGCATTAAGGCATCATAGGTCGCTTTTCCATTATTACTTTTTAATTGCAATCTTTTAGGATTTGACCATATTTGTAATCAATTTCACTTTCTTTTTCAAATCTTGTTTATTTAGCTTTGCAGGAGTTAAGTCCAAGTGAAATAAACAGTTCTTAATTGATTTGCTCTTATTCTGAGGTCATATGGTGATTACCTACATTAATTTTGGATTTTTTTCTGTAATGCTTCTGTAAAGGTAGAGGATTTGCAAGAAAATGCATACTACGAATTCAAGATTGCTGCTGCAAATATTACTGGTGTAGGGAAATCGTCTGAACCCAGCGAGCTTTACAAATGTGAGGCTTGGAACATGCCAGAACCAGGTAAGTAATTTGGATATGAAAATAATTACCATCTTTAAAATCGATTCGTGTTCAGACATTTTTGTATCTTAGTAATAATCTAACATGTTTTAACCATATTTCCTATGTCTCCCATATCTAAGAGTATGTACAAGTTTTCAGGATTCTGAAACTTAGAAGCCAGGGGAAGATACATTTGCTTTAGCATCTGTACAACTAAGGAAGTTGGTTTTGAGAAGTGGCCTTTATGTTTCAAGCAGGGGTGTCTGTGGGGTAGAAATGGGGATTTAAGAAGTTAAGCTATGACTGCATAATTGAAACTTTGCCTCTTTTTTACATGTATCAAATACATTAAAAAGAGGCAGGAGTTCATCCACAGCAGGGGTGGCCAACCTTTTGGACCACAGGGACCACCAAACTCATAATTTTAAATCCTGCAGACCAGAGACCCTGAAAAAATCCCCACAAAATCCTGCAGGAAAATTCCCCACCCCATTTTCCTACCAATTGATCATTCTTTATTTGGGATTGCAGGATACAGTCTCCAGCTTCGTTCTCAGGGGGCAAGAGAGGGAGAAACTTTCAGCTTTATGCAAGAAAAGCAGAAGAAGCAGAAGAAGTCTTTCTTTCTCTCCCCCAAATTCTGTCACTCCGGCACAGCCTCTTGGAGCAGGATGCCTTGCAGGGTCCCAAAGACTCATATCTGGCAGAGTTTGAGGGAGAGAAAGAAAGACTTTTGCTGCTTTCCTTGTGTGCAGCCAAAAGCAGAAGAAGAAAGAAGTGGAAAGAAGCAGCCCGGTGGCCATGCAAGGCACGTGGGGCAAGAGGGGCAAGTTCCCTCCCTCTGCCCTGTCCCCACTCCTCTCACTACCTTGTGTTGTTCGCAATGCAAGTGACGCAAGCCTTGTGTTCCCACGGGCCAGGTGGGCAGCTCAGCCTTGTCTTCTCACACAGCCTGGATTAATTGTTTTTTGGGGGGGTGACATTTCTCTGCGGACCACCAAAATGTTCTTGTGGACCACTAGTGGTCTCCAGCCCATTGGTTGGGAACCACTGATCCACAAGCTCACAGCTGTCTTCTTGATTTCTTTAATATTCCACCAACAAATGCCCCTGCTCCAAGTTTGCTTTGGATTGACTCAGAACCAACCAACGTTCCTTCCTTCCTTCCTTCCTTCCTTCCTTCCTTCCTTCCTTCCTTCCTTCCTTCCTTCCTTCC